ATATATATATATATATATATATATATATATATATATATACATATATAGATCTTACAATACCCTCTGACATTAGTATTATAAATATATTTAACTTTATACTTCATAACGATCTCTTGTCAATGATTGTACAATTTATGTTGTTTTAAATAATATATAGTTGTTATATATTTGCATACGCACACACACACATACATACACACGAATAAAGTATTTGTTTTCGACATAGATTTATATAACATACTTTATGAACGGTTGTGCAAATATAAAGTTTTAACATGGTTTTTCGATTTGAATTATGCGAAATAATAAGAATATCGTGTATTATTGTTGCAAAAAATAAGAACTGAGAGAATGTGGTAACTCGAGTAATGTAATATGCGACATGGATGTTCTTTAGGCGCGATTATATAAAAAAATTATTGTTTATAATACATAAGTATTCTTTCTTACGTTATTTTACTATCCTCCTCTCCACTGTATTAAACAGGCATTTTTGTAAAATTCAACGTTAAAAGTAATGATTTGTTTAGCAATTATATGAACACACATAAGAGTATGAGTACAAACAAAATTGAGTGCATTTTTTAAGTAAAAAGTTAAAAAAATATTTAATTTGTGGTTTAACCCATATACATTTTTAACAATGGAAATATAGTAACGCAAAGTACAATTTACTATTTTCTCTCGGCGATATAACCATGGAAGATAATTAATTTTGTATAACCCTTTCGAGTCCGCGACTTTTGATTTATGTAATCTCACAAATTCGTCCAACGCGATTTAATAATGAATTGTCTCATCTGACTCGATAGAGTCATATAATTGTAAAACTCGTTATATTGAATATCTATAATTTTATGAGTAAAAAGATGAATTCAGTTTTCTTTAACTTTCCACGAGGAATTAAAATAAGTCGGGAGCAACAATGATAATGTAACAAATATACTGACGAAGACACACATTCACATATACACACATAGAACTCCATCTCATAAAAGAACAAAATTTTGGTAACATTTGGTAAAAGGTACGAATCGACATTTCATGTTAATTTAATTAATTACAGACGATGGTCATCTCATCGTAAAACTATACTCTGATTTTTAAATTACAACTTATGATAAACTAAATCTGCGAACAATATTGTAAACTAAAAATTCATAACATCAAATCATCAATGTGATCTAATAGTCAATATTAGACTCGCAATAGCCTCGTAGTTTTGCGAAAGAAGGCCTGGATTGATACGTTGAACATATCAAATTTAACATTCTGGCGAAATTTGCATTGTGCCTTTCATACGTATGTTATCTCGAGCACACTTATCGCTGGATAGATATCGTATCCACTGGAGCCTTAGCTAAATTAAGCTATTATTTTTACAAATCATGTGCGCTTTTTTTTATATATATTTTTTTATAGACGCAAATTTGTTTTTCTTTCTTCTTTTTCGAATATTAAGGATATCTTATTTGAAGTTTCTCCAATAATTTTATCTTTTTTCCTCTTTAATAATCGCATTATTGCCAGAAGCAGCCTCGTTTACATAAAACTGACAGATATAAGGCAAGTGTACGCTTAACGTATGTATACACATTAATACTCTCCAAAGTATCCGGCAGTAATCTACATAAGAAGGGATTAAGATATACAAATCTATATACTAGTACATAGATTACTATACGAAATATATATAAGAAGTTACAAACATCGAATAAAATATTATGTAACTTACGCATTAACGGCCGAATCGTTAAAAAAATAAATGAAGTATGCAGATTTTATACCTCTAATTTTCAATCGGTATGGTGATTTTTGATAAATGCGATTTCTCTTTAATTTTTGTAAAATAGGCACTAACGTTATTTATCTATACTTTGGATAATACAAGAGAATTTCATATAATGTAATGTGTGTGTGCGCGCGCGTGTATGTGTGTGGGTGTGTGTACATAGTGAGACGTGACGTGTTATTTTTTTCCTAGATTTATGTCGCATATGCGAGACGCATACCAAGCTAAAATCACTATTGCTTGCTTGCACAATGTCATTGCTTGCTTTTTCATAACTTGCAAGAATAAGATTACTTGCAAACCGTATCAAATTTTGATTTAAAATTAACTTGTACTAGTTTCTGACAAGGCAAGTGCGCGCGCAACAAATATGGAAAATGACATATATATCGCTGAATTTATAATCATATTATATATTATATAATCGTACGTAAGGTGTAAATAAATAATACTATTTTTGCGACTGATTGCCGCATATATTAACAAAAAATTAAAATAAACATTTCTTTTTTTTCTTTTTTTTAAAATGAGTACAGTTTACAGAAGAAAATTCGCACCATGTGTACTAAAAATGCTTCGGAGGATTGAATACATTTCGATAATCGCGTTATTATAGAGCAGCAATTGTACGAGAATGGTATTTTAAGGCTCAGTGATCTCTCTCTAATTGCTGATAAAGTCCAATTGACAAATTACTATTATTAATTTCTGTAGCTTATTAATTTTTTTTCCTTTTATATTCTTTTTTAATATGAATGGACGCGTTTTTGTTGATCATTGTATGTATATTTTACCTTGTTTTTATTGATAGTTACTTTAATAAGTAGAACTATTAAAACAGACACGGTTTATAATTCAGAAGTTGTCAAGTGCAAAATTTATACTTCGTGATAGAAACCGCTTTTTGCGATATTATCGCTTAAACGTTTGTAACTAAATTCGCTGTTTTTAATGCAATTACTTTCAGACAAGATCTTCGGGAGAAATACAGGAGTACGGTGACCAACATGTAAAATAAAATTCGTTCGCGCTGTCTACCGGAAGTGGGGGGGTATTCTGTACCGTATTAGTCGCATTCATCAACACAACTTTAAATTGTTGAAAAACATTTACTGCAATTTTAAATGCATAGTATCACATAAATTCACTACTCCATTGTCATTCTACTCAACGCTTTTTTTATATAATGAAGATATATATTAACGAATATCGCAATAAATTTCTGTTAATTATTTACATAGTACTTTGGCCTTTTTTTATTTGAACGAGTGGATGCACTTTTACTGATTACATGTATATTTTTGTCGGTAGTCCTACTGTAATACGGTACGGAATACTGTTATAGGATGCATAGTACAGTATGATATCACGTTATTGCGATGTCCATCCGACCCATGTCGTTATCCGATCATTGTCTGATTAGAGCAAATACGTGATAGATAATGTGTATTGATGTTGTTTCAAAAACAAACTGTATCGTGCATTCTTCATTTCATGAAAGATCTCTCACTACAAAACTTAATCTACTATAAATGAGTGTATGTGTACGCACGCGTACGCATACACACTTTTCTCTTGTAAACATTTAGATAACAGATCATTTCTCAGCTATCAAATTGCTTAGCGAAGGCGATTTGTTGAATAAGAAACGATTGTGATGTTCTTAACTGATTAAAAATCTCATTCGCTGAAAAATTGAAGAACTAAAAAATGGTGTTATCCGTGTTTTCGGCTCAAGAATACCGTGATGTATTTTTTAGGCTATCATGAGACGTCTTATATATAGAAGATTCGATAATCGTCGGTACAATTTGGCAAGGTGATTCCTCTCGTTCTCTAAAATTCTCTGACGAAGAATCAGCATTTTCTGCATCGCCCATTATCGAATGTTCGATTGTTTTTTTTTCCTTTGTATAGAAAGATTTGACTATACAAATTAATCTAGATTGTTTAAACTACATCGTTTGTTCTATGGCTTTCTGCATGTTATTTTTGTTGTTTCTTTTGATGTTGACTCGCGAATAATGCAGCCATTGGAAAAAAAAACTCTTACGATATATTCTTCCCGTTTAAGTAGCTAGACCCGCGTCTTTAGCCATACTGTAGAAAGAGCTAGTCGGATTGCGAAGTAGCGTATGTGGGGAATCATATTCAACAATTAACCCTTTATCCAATACGATCACTCTGAAATAATATCACAGTGTGTAATATAAATCAAAATTAAACGTGTTTGCGATTGTACAGCAACAATTACAACTAACTTGCAACTATTTGTTACTGCAATCTAATGGTAATTGTTCCCATAAATGGCAATAGTTTGTTACTATAATCTAATGATAATTGTTTTCATAAATATGATAATAGAAGCAATTAGCAAATAGAGATTTTGTAAAAAATAAAATAAAATACATCTACAAAATATTAAAACAATTGAGATATACGTACTTATCCGAATCTAAAATAGTATTGAGTCTATGGGCTATTGTGAGTACTGTACAATCCTTGAATTCGTGGCGGATAGTAGTTTGAATCAAATCATCCGTCTCCAGATCGACTGCAGCCGTAGCTTCATCCAATATCAGAACTTTTGTTTTCCTCAGCAATGCTCTCGCCAAACAGATCAATTGTCGTTGTCCCACGCTCAGGTTTTCTCCACCCTCAGACACCTCGTGTATAAGACCACTTGGCAGATCTAAAACACAACACCGACAAATTAGAGATTTTTCAATGAGACAAAAAGAAAATATACAACGTACTTTTTACAAACGATTTCAGATGGGCATGTTCCAACGCTCTCCAAATTTCTTCGTCGGAATGATTATCGAAAGGATCAAGGTTCAATCGTAGCGTTCCGGAGAATAACACAGGATCCTGTGGTATGATGGTCAATCTGGAGCGCAAGTCGTGAAGACCCAGTTTAGAAATATTTATGTCATCGATGAGAATCTCGCCACTGGCAGCCTCGATTATCCTGAAAAGCGCCAGTGTCAAAGACGACTTGCCGGCGCCTGTTCTGCCAACTATACCGATCTTCTCGCCGCCGAGTACGCTAAACGATATGCCGTGTAGCACAAGATCTAGACCTTCCCGATAGCGGACTTTGAAGTCTTTGAAGTCGACGCGTCCGCTACTAGGCCACTCTGTGGGAGGCGTGTACTCCGGATTCTTCCACGATGCTTCCTGCGTCGTTTCTCCGTACTCTTTTATTCTCTCCACCGCGACAATATTGGTCTCTACGTCGGACGTCATTCGCACCAGCCAGTTCAAAGTCTGCGTGATCTGTATGACAGTCACAAATTGCGTATAGTTTGTACTTTTATGAATTTTTATCTTTTATATGTTAATTGAACAATGAAAATTATCATCGTATTTGCTTTGTGGATAAATTATATGTTTTTAATGAACAAAATGACTCATGCTGAAATATCGTTGTGTATTAGTAATTGCGATATCTTACTTGTAAGGCATAACTAACTGACAGACCCACAATTCCTGCACTCATATCCGGCGAATCTCTACCTAAAACAGCGAACAACGCTGCAAAGAATATTATTAAATTTCCAACCATTTCCAATCTCACAGCCAGCCATCTGCAACAGATCCATTTTAGTTAATGAGACGTTATACATAAAACATATGCAATAATGTATGTATGTGTGTGTGTGTATGGTGTAATATATATATATATATATGTGTGTGTGTGTGTGTGTGTGTGTGTGTATATATATATATATATATATATATATATATATATATATATATATATAAAATGAAAAAATATTTACCTGTTCGCAATAATGCTAGGATAGTAACACACTTGATTGATATCCACTCTATTTTCAGATTCGTGGATAAACTGGTCCTGTACACCATATGCTCTAATTATTGGTGCACCTAAAGAATTAACAAGTGAAAGTATTATTTTTAATATTTTATTTTTAATATTTATATTTTTTTAATATCAATGAATAATATTGTATAATGCAGTTTTAAAACCTACCAGTTACTGATTCACTGAAATGTGAATATATAGGAGATCTTGATACGGATTCTAATCTTTTTAGTTGGCGCGATGTTGCAACGTAAAAACGTTGAATGAAATAATAAAGCGCGCCTATTGGCAGTATCACTGCGATAAATATAGGTGTACTGTAGCTTATTACAACAAGAGTAGCTACAACCTGTAATGGATTAATATTAATATTATTGAAAAAAGAAAAAATACACAGCACAACATATACATATATAATCAAATTGTGTGTAGATTATTATATGCATACATATACGTACGCATTATATATATTATTTTTCTTAATATAATTATAATAAAACAAATAAAATACTACCGTATTACATAATATAGAATAAAAAAACTGGAAAAAATATTTGTGTTTAAAATATTTGTACACGTGGATATATGTAATGATATAAAAAATATACAATATAAACATAAAATGAATAAACTATGACCATGCAAAAACATTATGGATGAAGCGCTCGTATCTTTTTCTGAAATAAAATATAATACGTGGAAGACAAATTGACAAAGTCGTTTCATAGGCCCACCAACATGTACGATGAATATGATTATTATTATATGCATCAAAACAAATGCATATAAACACGAAAAACATTAAGATACATTTATGTTTCTTCTTCAGTCGTATTGAGTGATTTTTTTTCTTTTGTTCTTGGGGAATAATCCTGACTGGCTATAATAGCTTATCATTAAGACGGACACAATTATACGCAACGACGAATTTTACAGCGTGTTTATTTCTTACACGCGTACTTTCTCACTAAACAAGTAACTTGAGAACTGTACTTTCTCAAATTTTTCACTGGCCCAATACAATCACAAATAAAATCATCATACATACATACATACATACATATACATATATATATATATATATATATATATATATATATATATATATATATATATATATATATAT